ACACAGCTTCATAATGATTTGAATGGTTGATTTACTGCAATTCTACTAGCAACCTCTTGAATATTATATTAATAACCTGCTAGGTGGTGCACAACGAAACCGTTTGAAACCAGTCCAGGTTCGGACCAGTCAAGGGTTCGACCAGTCAAGGTTTTGGACCAGTCAAGGGTTCGGACCAGTCAAGGTTCGGTCCAGTCTATCTGTTCTGATCAGTGGGTCACTTATTTAAACCATACTGGTCGGTGATTTGAGCTAACACATGAAGGATCTACTGGAAATTATCTACCCGAGTAATATGTGATTTGATTGATACAAAAGTATAACTTGCGTGTTGAAGAGCCGGTGACTGCTGGCACTCCTACAATGACGAACGGTCGAGCCTCCACCCTTGTTTATCAATCGCTGTATCTAGCTTCTCTATTTTTTTTTTTCCGTCTCCACCACAATAAATGCTATATTATCACTATAGTTGACTGGTGCAAATTTTGGAGGAAGGGCGCTTTTTCTGTAGTAATAATTGCTTCTCGTTGTGTATATTGCGACCGCTGGTAACTACAGGTTATATGAAATTCACAGTAACGTCTGGTAATTTCAAGAAAAAGAAACTAATGAAAGTCACTCCACTCCACTAAGTACCATTATAATACTGGTTAGTTGCTACTACAACACTGTATTCTGCTATTCACTGGTTATCACTAGATTATATGCGAGTACACTAGCAGCCAGGAAGATAATTAAAACAGCTGACCTGTGGTAAGTTTCTGGCGACTTCTGGCACCTGCCCTATAGGCTTATCACTTCATTTACAAATTCACCTGTTTTCAAATGACACTTTAGCCTTTATCATCAATATACTAGGGAGCCACTGTAGTATACACTATACACTATGTATACTCAATGCTTTCAGGGAGACTTTCTTTCCTCTGACACAAAGTTCAATTATTATTATTTTTCCACACGGGACAGGCCTATGATTCCCCTCTGGCAGTAAACTCTGTTAGGTAGTGCACACAATTCTCCTTTTTTTACTCAGTATATAATGTTTTCCGCCCAAGATTGGTTCCAGGCGCTAGTGGGATGTATCGTATAGGATTGATGACACAAATTAAAGTTCTAGCACGTAAGAGCGACCGTGAAAACACCAGAAAACCGGGAGCACAACGAGGCACGCTGACACTGTGTACATAGGTCTTTTTGTACCCATTCAATACGATAAAAAAGAGACGTATGACAAGGATAAATCTAACATCAGATTCGAATATATAAAACATATCCTCACAATATACATATAAATATAAACCCCCTATATAAAATGGTTCTTATAACAATAAGAGAAAAACAGAAAATCACATACTACTTTTCACTCTGTGATTTTACAAAATTCATAAAGGTCTACATACCCCGGAGCCCCCGACGGCTCCCTGCAAAAAAACTTTACCCACATCTACCACCTTGCAAACCAATCAACCTTCCTCATCAGGCTTCCAATCACTCCAAGAGGACACACCACTGAAAGAACCCAAAACCCCTTTCCCTCTCACCCCGTCACCAAACGGTAGACGTTCAACAGTAAGTTCACGATATCCCCCCGGAAAAAAATTACCCATTTCCCCCAAATTTTTTTTTGTTCCACATGTTTCCCTATAAAAAAAGCCCCCAAAGCTTTTACCCTAATTTTTCCTCCACCTCCCTCCCCCAAGAAACATGCAAGTAATCAACTATTACTATCTGTTAGCCCCCCCACCTTTTGGGTACCCCTCCCTATCAACATTAAGCCCGGGGGGGTTTGAATCTGCCCCCCCCCAAAAAAAAAAGAAAACCCTCTTAACCCCATCTTCCCCCTCCAAAGCAGAAAAAAAAATATACTACATGAAACCCGTTTCAATTTCCCCCCAAAAAAACCGCTGATGCCTCCTCACAAACCCCATTCGTCTTAGCACCTCTTTCGTGCTAACTCCAAAGAAATCTAAAACTTTTCCCTCGCTTTTCCCCCTTTATTCTTAATTTCTAAATCCCCCAAATCACTCTCCAATCTATGTGGGTAATGCCACCCCTTTGCATTGTTTCCTGAGCGCCCCAACCCATAAACGTTTTACCTTTGGGTTTTTTAAATTGGTCCCTTTTAACAAAAACCGAAACATTTTTCACACTCCCTAGTCCCTGCCCCCCCAATTTTGCGGAATCCCCCATCACCCCCCCCACCCGAAGACCCCTTTCCCCCCCCCTGCCGTTACCTCTGCTTCAATATAGCCCTTCCCCTAGACCCTAATGCCATCACCCAAAACCCCCTGTCTTCCGCAGATTCCCAATTTTTACCCAACAGCCCCCCCAAAACCCCACACATATTTAAAGGGCTTTTTTTGTAATTCCATAATATCCATTCTTAAGGGGTAAATTTTCCCCCACTCCCCCCCCCTTCTATAAATAGGTAAAATTTTCCCCCACAACCCTTGATGCAAAGGGTTTTAAAACCCCGGCCCCTTTGCTCCCGAGCCCATCAAAGCTTTCCATTTCCATTTCGAATTAACCCCCTGCTCTCTAATCTGCTAAATACAAAATCCAAAATTTTTAGCCTATTTACGTTATCCATCCAAAAAACCCCCTCCCCCAAGGTCCCGTCTACCAATTTCCTCCTCCACAACCGTGATTTTGCTTTTAACTCTCATCCCAGTAGCATTTCCCAAAAAATCAATTACCCTTCCCACTTTACTAAATCTTCTATCCTTAAGTAAAAAATTTTTTCATCTACATAACCAACAAAATTCCCCCAAAATCCACCTCTTCCCCCCCCTTTCCCATCCCACACAACCAGAACATAGAAAGGAATTTTGCAACAGCAAAGGTATTTGGGGAGTGGACACCCTGCCTTAACCCCCCCCCCATGCTTTTGAACTACCCCAACCTAAAATTTCCTGTACTTCATCGAGCATTCTCTCAAATTCCCCACCCATCCCACACCCTCCCTCCAAAACCATTCTCACCATACCTTTAAAAAAAAATTCCCTTCCAATAAACATAAGCTTTCCCCAATCCCAACCTAGAATACCCCCCCTTTTCTACTACCCCCCAAGGAAATCCCGAATAATCCTGACCTACTGCAACTTCCCCGGGGTCCAAATGTCCCCCCCTGTTCACCGACCCCCCTGACCTTCTTCATTATTCCCAAAATTTTCGCAAAAACCTTTAATCTGCAACATCAAAGTATTGTGGGAAGAATCAACTCTCTTCCCCCCCTTTCTTTGGCACCCAAAAATATGATACCCGTACTTTGCGATGTGCCCCAACTTCCCCATTTTTAAAATATGATCCAAAGCCCAACAAGCCTGCCCAATACACCCCCAATGTGCTCTATAAAAACATTTGGTATACCGTCTTCCCTGGTGTTTTTTTCCCGGGGATATCCCAAAAACTGCCTCTTCCACCCCAACCTCACTTTACCAAACCTCCCAACCCCCTCTATCCTGCTCCTTAAAACGCTATGGAAACCCCCCCTTCAAAAATACCCCCCGGGAAACCCCCCCCCCTCCAACTCCTTTCTCCCTAAACCAAATACAGCAAGAGACTCTAATTTCCGTATTGGAAGGACTCGACCCACTGGAACCCCCCCACCCAGGGCTTGTCTCCAAATTTTAAATGGTGGTTTCACCTTCGGGCCCCCAAATTTACGAAAACAAACCAGACGGCTTTTCACCCCCACATACATCTTCAAAAAAAACCCCGCCCTAACCCCAATTCATCAAAATACCATTGTGTATTTCAGCATCCTGCTCCGCGACTGTCCATGTCACCCCTACCCTCCCCCAAATTTAAAAATCTGCAACTGTCACTCCCGTTTAATTTTGGGAACCCCAAAAAGCCACCCCGCCTTTCCCTCCCCCCAACCTTTAAAAAAAATTCGTATCCCCCGGGTTTTTCCGCATTTCCCCCAATCTAACAGATTTAAAACCCCTGTCCCTACCTCCCAAAAAGGCAAACCACCCAAACACTGAAAAAAAACCCCCCTCCTCCTCCCTTTAAAAACCTTCATTTAATTTCCCTACCCCGAATAATACGCACCACTCCATCCCACATCAAAAACTGCATTACCGCCCGTGATCCGAAAA